GGGGGGGGAGGATGAAGAGGAAGAGAATTCAAAAATGTTTATAGATATATTCAACTTGGCGCAATTTTTTCCTGCTCGATTATTGTAAATGTAGAGATTCCGTAAGGTTCTTTGCAACTCCATGATTCGCTATCGTCATTGAATGAAGCATTTATCGATGATGTAGTTTGTTTCGATTTTGCTGATGGTAATAGGAATATTAACGAGATCGCCATACAAATGTGCCAAGCACTATGAACGTACTGCAACAAAATAAACAAAAAATAAGGCTTTTGAAAGAAGAAAATAACGATGATTTAATAATGAAATTTGTTTTATAGTATACAAAAGAATTTGATTCTTACGATAAAATGCATTACCTCTTGGAAATATTTTATCACTTACAATAAATTTAAAGTATCACATTTTTTAACTTAATTTTAACTTTGATATAACGTGAGTATTTGATTCATAGATGACGTGTATAGAGTGTTTTTCTTTCATCTTTACAAAAATTTTATTTATATGTTTTTTTATATGTAATTTTTTTGGGATAATATAAAACTCGTAAAATTATATATATATTATGTATATATACATCATGAATGTACTTACTTGATAATTTTTCTCCGTTTCAATTAAAGAATAGAGTAATAAACCTGTCATAGCCAAGAGCAAACCTAATAGAATCTTTCGGCTTGGTTTCTTGCATTTTCTAGATTGAAAAATACGATAGGCATGTGTGAAAATCTGTAACAGAATCTGCTATTATTTCATCAATCCTCAATGCAATTGAGTTACTTCTACGTAAATTCCTACGATATTTTTGTGTATATTATTGCAGAATTGTTTCTAGTTTCTACTGATATTTAGATAAGAACATTTATTTTTATTCATTCATTGACATTTTTCTTCTTTTCAAAGTTCAAAATCATCTTAGATTTACCGGTATGATGATACCCAATGATAGCGGTATCAATATATTAATTAAACACATCCTGTCAATTTGCACCCCGAAAGTTATGACAAACACTCCCGTCATGTGGCACAATGGTACCATAGCGATCGGTAATTCTGCCATTGCTACCAATGTCACCCAAAATGCCAAAATACCCGAAAAAAAGTCGCTGTATTGTAAGATCTGTATCAAATAAATATATTATATTATAGATATAATGTACCGAAGAATATATCATTAATAATTAAAATTTCTCTTTATTATTAAATTTAAATTAAAAATTTTTCTTTCTCTTAATCTTTAAAATGTATATTATACAAACATTAAGTAATCATTATTTTTTAAAAATTTGATATTTTTTAAAAATAAATAGATTTTAAGTTATACCTCGTATTTCGTAATACAAAATTGTCCATCACTTTGATCACAAGCATGATACAGAGACGAGAACAGCATAGTAAGCAAATAAACCAGCCCTTCTGCATACAGCTTCCTTTTTACGGCTATATATACGGCCGGTACGAAAAAAACATTGCTCATGATGAGTAGTATGGCGCTCATGAGAGAAATAGCAGGTATGGTACTAGAAATATTGGTGCAATCCCATCCTGTGTAACCTGTGAATAATTAAAATATTAGCACAAGTTTATAGCTTTCTCTCTCTCTCTCTCTCTCTCTCT